GAAGCTACTAGGAACAAGTGCATCGCTTCTAGTAACAAGAAGCTACTTGTTCCAAAGGGATGCTTCTTGTGGACTGCCCTCCTGGTCTGTCCGCGCGCCAAGGACCAAACAGCCTTCAACTTGCCATTCCTGCAGTCACGAGTTCGAGATGTCTCGGAGACGAATGACACATGCAAACCGCTTGGAGGGGCATCGCTACTAGCAACAAGAAGCTCAAAGTTTAGTATGGATCGTGGCCTTTCGTTTTGGGTGGTTCCTGAGAAGTGTTCTTCAACGAATCAACGAAGACAAACTTTGATCAAGATTCTTCATTCTTCTGATTTTCTGACGATCTTCTCTTTCAACACTAGCTCTTTTCATTTCTTGCACTCACTAGCAGCCATCGCTACTAGGGTGGAGGCTATCGCTATCAGGTGGGAGGCCATCTGAAGGACTTGACTTGAAAGCACTTCCAAAAAACCTAGTAACAAAGAAGCTACTAGGGGCTCCTGGCATCACTACTAGTAGCATTCTACTAGTAACAAAGAAGCGAGCGGGTCCAAAGTCGAAGGAGCCGCGATTCAGAAACTAAGACTTCGCTCTATCGTTCTGTGCCTGGTAGAGAAACAGGGCCCGGTCTCATGGGTCAAATGATCGTTGCGAACGAAGCGCCGCCCCCGGGCGCTTAGCGCCCGGAATGTTCGGCGAGAATCAAACGTCCGTCAGGTTGAATGATCGTGTGTGGGATGGTAAGGTGCATGGGATTTGTGGATTGGAGCCCCACGGATCTCACCCTCTGCACTTCGGTGCGGGCGAGGCTTTGGTGTTTCTCCCAGACATGTCATTCGGTGGTTTCCCTCGGGTCGTGCCTCGGTCCCGAACCGGGTCGTGCGTGGGTGGATCCCGTTCGGGATTGAAGTGACATGATCCAAACCTCCAAACAATGAAAACGATACAAGTGTCAGAACACCACACGATCCATCCTCATCCCCTGACCAACCCCAACGACCCCAACCTGGTGATCTCATCCAATCGCTCACTCGCCGGCTTGGACAATTTCATGGCCGGTGCTGCCAGCAGTGGATAGAGCAGCTTTCCTGAAGCCGAACAATGTTCGTCATGGCCATGTGGCAAAGGCTTTGACCAAAAAGCACAGGTCCTCCGTCCTCCAACCTGCTAGTGATGGCCTCCACCCTAGAAGCGTGGCCTCCAACCTGCGTACTAGCGATGGCCTGCAGGTCCATGGCCTCGTGGTCCATGGCCGCGACAGATTTGCGGAATCCATCCATGGCGGATGGCCATCCTTCGCAACGACATGTCGGGTCTACAATTCGACCGCTGTGGCGGATCCAACGAAAGAGTCGGAGGCCCACGACTGTTCGAGCGACGGAGCCCCCGACGGCAGTCGCGCTTCTCCAAGCATCTGAGCCAGTCGAAGGGCAAGGTACGCCAGACCATGGTGGGGAAGAACGTGACCATGGCCGCCTGTGAACACATGTGGTTCAAACGGTCGGAGATGGCCATGTGTTGTTTGCCATCTCCGCACTTCAATCCTGAGAAAACGAAGACTCTTTTGGGTCCACGTGTGGATGATCATCGCTTCACTAAAGACTTTCAGACAGAAAGCTGGATCGCCAGCTTCAAGATTCATCAAATTCTCTTATCTTCACACCCAAAAGCTTCACCTTCCCCCCACCGGCACCGGCATCGTCCGTTTCTTCACGAGCGAAGCGCCAGCGCCGACTCGGCCTTCAAGTCTCGGCCATACACGGCGATGGCCTCGCGTTCTTCGGGGAACTTCTGCTGCAAGACTTCCAGCCATTGCTCCAGGCCATTCCTTGGAAAGCTACTGGCATCGCGACTCGAACGGAACAAGGACGCTACGAACGGGGCGCTCCTGGCATCGCTACGAACGGAGCATCCTTACGACTAGTAACAAGAAGCTACTAGTAACAAGTGCCTTACTAGTAGTAACAAACTAGACGCTACCAGACCATTCCTTGGGAGCGGAGAGCGGAGAGAGCGGAGAGAGCGGAGAGCAGGTCGGTCGTTGGTCACCGGAAAAAAAGAGATGTGTTTTTTTTGACGAAAGAATCAACACGAAGACATCTCCAGCAAGACCATTCAACGCGACTTGCGAAGCTTTGGATGATTCTCAACACACAGTAGATTGGTGGTGGGCAGCCTACACAAGTGGAAAGCACATGAAAGAACCCCGTTTACAGCTGGGTGCTTCAAAATCCTCCCCCCCCAAAGAAGTCCATGGCAACAACAAAGAGATCTAACACAAACCCAACGAACAGACCGTCAACACACCCCCAACACCACCCACACCACGGATCTGGGTCAACACGACCGGTCAACACGAGCCATGGGGCGGAACTCCCAGGTGATCCGAGCCATTCTGGAAGACCACCTTGTCGTAGATGCCCCCCGAACGCGCCTCAGAAGACAGGCGGAGGCGCGTTGAGGGCGGGTGGGACACGAGGGACCTCGCGTGTGTGGTTCCAACCCCCAAAGCTCGAAAGCATGGGGTTCACCATGGTTCAAACGACCAGCAAAAGTGCGAAAAGGCATTCACAGATGTCTTCATTTTTGGACCACCTGACACGAAGCGTTCTGTTTTGGAGCTGGGACCATGGGGAAGCAACACTAGTGTTCTCTGCAAACATGTTCGTTGGTATGGTTGGTATTGTGTAGTTTGTGGGAAGGTCCAAACGAGGCGGTGATGTTGACGAACCTTGAAAAGCCACCCAAGACCTAGTAGAAAGTCCACCATCAAGTCCCCCAGTAAGACACTCCATTCCTCTTAGTACCTTTCATATGTGAAGATATGAGGGGTGGAAGACAACTTGGTGAGAGACAACCAGGAATCACCCCCTGTTTTGCTTTCGCCGTTTCCAGCGACTGTTTAGGGCCCAGACCCCTAAACAGTCTCAAGACATGGGTTGAATAGATTTTGGACAAGTACAGCTTCACCATCTCCACGAGATTTTAAGATCCAAAAAGTGAAACACACGTTGCCTCACCTGCCCCGTTCAAAACCGAAGACAGTTCTGACGATTCTGAACACTTGCAGGGAGGAGCAAAGTGATAGACCCATTTTTGCAACCTTCAGGAGGCCTTGGAGTGCACAGGAACTTAAAAGTATAATCCCTAAAAAGTCTCTGATCTCTTTCACCGCAAAAAACACGCATATGATTTCCGAATATTGGTCATACTCCTTCAGGTTTGGGCTGCGCAAAGTTCCCTCCCAGAACCTCGGGGAGAGAACCCAACTTAAAATAGCTGATCCAAGTCCAACAGCGACGACTTGTTGGAGGCACGTCAAGGTTGGTGAACTCCACTTCCTGGCACCGAGCTTCGAACCGCTTCAACCCCGTTCCGGTTTTCCCGCTTCGGTCGTTTTCCGTCCTTCTTCACCGGTCACGGTGATCGCTTTCAGATATCAACCACAGAGTTGTGCTCGGATGGACCGAAGCTTTCTGCTTGGAGGCCACTAACAATGCTTTCGTTCGCTTCGGTCGTTGAAAGCGTTTACTGTTTGATACCACAAAAAACATCGCCACCGGAGCTGTTTGTCTTCGTCTTGAAGCGCTCCTCGTTGGTCAAGGAATCCACGATGGATCGCAGCTCGGCCCCCTTCTGCATCTCGCCTCGCCGGTTCGACGTCGGGAACGGACCAGCTGGACGACCGACGGGTTCACATGTGGACAGGGCCAACGACGGGCCGGAAGCCAACCTGTCAGCAGAGAAAAAAGCTGTTTTGGTCAATGAACATGTGGAGAACGTGAAAGACAGGGTGCTTCTATAGTGCTTCTGTGTTCTACACTTGACCATAGCCATCAACATTTTTCATGTCAACCAAGACAAATGCACGCGTTTGCACAGCCATTCGTCGAAGTGACAAAGATTTGATCCGGCCCAAAATCCAAGCAATCAGCAACCTGTAAACCTGTAGCCTCTGAACCCCCAAGAACCGAAGCAAACATCACAGGACCCTCCACGAACCCTGTGGAACCCTGGTTTTTGAAGCAAAGAGCCAACCGTCCATGCCCAGCGTCAGAGCGAACCGTCCGGATTCCGGGCCTAAGTAGTGGAAACCGGTCTCGAACTCGTAGCCTCAGTGGCCGGACATCACCAGCAGACTTGGGAGAGGGGGGATGACTGAAATCCTCCAGTTTGGTACCACTTTTAGTGGTTTAGTCGATGCCTGAGAACACTCAAACCATATTGCATCTTGAGAATGACTTTGAGGTGACAGAAGGAACGCTCGGAACGCTCCCCTCGATTGCCTGAAACACCACTTCCACACGCTCCGCGCGTGTAAAAGACCACCCACACCGAACCGCGCCGCTGCAGTTGCTATCAAAGATCTGTGTACGTCGCCCGGGCTACGTGGTGCTCACCATTTACAGCAAAGCCCTCTTGGGAATCATTTCACCTGTAACAATAAAGCTTTCTAGTAACTAGAAGCTAGAAAGCTTTATTGTTACTAGTAGCGATGGCCTCCAACCCAATAGCGATGGCCTCCACCTAGTCGCTTCACAAAGCTGGGTGCTTGGGTCCCAGAAGAACTTCATCGGACACTGAGAGCCATCTGCCCCTACAGCAAACCTGAACCCATCCGATGGCCAACCATTTTGAAACCCAACCCATCCGAAGCGATCTCACCCAGAAAGCCTATCCAAACAAGCTGTTTCCACTGGGTCGACGTATCATGAGCCCCTGGACCTAAAGACCGCTTCGGGCTTTGAGCGTTTGGACGGCGGTTGAAGTCAACCTCTGTGATATGCTGCGATGATCACTGCCACCCTGGCCACATGGTCCTATCGCCGGCCGAACTTCGCGATCCACTCACGCCCATCGCGGCGGTCTGCGCGTCCGCGTGTCGCAGCGATCTGCGCTGGAGCTGGGAAGGCCGTGCAGGGGCGCCTGCGCTGTTGATGTCGTCATGGAGACGGGGTAAATGCATGCATCACCTCCACCCATCATCACTGGCTTCTCTTCAAACGCGCTTCTCTTTAGAGATTTCAGACCAAGACTGCTCCACATATTCGGCGCCACGTCAGAATCTCTCCATCAATAGCCAAAGACCATCTGCCTGAATCAGGTGCAAAAAGACATCTGCCAAGAGCGTCAATCAGGGTGCGTCTGCTCTTCAAGGTGTTGTCCACATCTGATCATTCAAAGGTTGAAGAACCCGCCCAGTTGAGTACCCCACAAGGTCAGAGGGACACCGTCTCTTGTGGCGCCAGTTGGACTCACCGGTTGGACGACCTACGCCACCGGACCCACTGGACTGTTGTCTCGGACGCACTGGGCACCGGGCCATGCTCGGTGAAGCTGTGTAGGCCGCCTCCGGCGCGGTCGTGCTGCTCCAGCACCAGGACCTGGACCGATCGACCAAAAACCGCACTTCTTCGAGCCCAAAACCATGACGTTCCGACGTTTGAACCGCAGTGAAAAATGAAAGCTTGAACCGGACCTCCCGAAGTGATTTTCGCACTCGACGCGAACCAGATCGATCGCGGATGGCCTTGCGGCCGAAGTTCCCCAGCAACACGGCCAACGAGAGGCCTGCAGGACCTGGAGGACACGGTGCGATGCCAGCGGCACGGCGCAACGAGCGAAAACCCAAAGCCTTTTGAGGCCATGTACGACGTGTACAGTGTACCAACTAGCCCCGTTCGTAGCGGCCGATCGCTCCTAGTAGTAAGGCCAGGAGCCCCGTTCGTAGCTTCTTGTCAGTGTGCGTCAGTGATACCAACTCCATAGTGCCGATGTACCCAATCCGGCACGAGAGCGGCGCAAATCCGCCATGAAAATGAGATTGGGATCACATCGCCACCCTCACCTCTCATCGTGTTTCTTCCGGTTTCAAGCTTGGCCACGGCAAGACATTCCACCTTCGCCCAAGTGGCTGGAGGGAAGCTGTGCCAACTCTTTCGGGGACTCCTCCGCCCGGGAGCCGGTCCCTCCCCGCCTGCACCGATGACGATGGCATCGGCCTCGGAGGGCAAGTCCTGCTTCCGGAGCCCTCGACGAATGAGGTCCTGGCCGGTTCCGGGGGGCCGCGTGGGCCGCGGTCCAAGCAGTGGCCGGTTCAGAGAGAACCTCGAGGTTCGCGTGGCCAGCGGCGTAGAAACCAAACGGGGTCCAAAGAACTTTTTGGAGAACGTTCCAAAGAACACTGGCTTTTTCACTGACCCCTTGAGCTTTTTGGTGACTGACCCCTGAAACATCCTGAGATCACGATTCGCCGGTGCCCAGCTGGCCATTCTCCCCAACAACGGTGCCCCAACAAACCATCTCTCTCTCTCTTTCTGTTTCGGAGTCTCACTTCTCCATTTCACCCGTCGTCCTCAACAGGCTTGGCTGGCGGAAAGGCCTTGCAGCGCCGTGCACGTGAACGCCACCAAAGCACCACTGTGACGGTGGCGGCCGCAGCGGTGGCCAATGCCACGGTCGTACTGGAGCGGTTCATGGGGAAGGAAGCGATTGCGAAGGTAAACAGCGAGTTGGAAGTTGGAAGTCTACCTTCAGCTTCTCAAGCTGCGCTGCTTGGTGTGTGGCTTGGAATTCGTCGGAATTGGGCATTGGACGTTTGCCAACGATTGACGTCGCCAACCTTGAATCACTCCGCGGGATTTTGAGCTTTCGACACTGCTGAAACAGGTTCCGTCTGAGAACCTTCCGGACCACTGTGATTGGACCACGTGAGTAGGGGGAGCAGCACTACAGCTGTTGTTTTTACTTCAAGAGCTGAGCTGAGAGCCACAATGGCTAAGTCACGAGTGGGACGTAACTGCCAACCTACTTAAGGGATCGGTGGTAGAGTCAGCTGGATGATCCCGCTATAGAAGCTTGTCCTTATGGTGTGTACATGCAATACCATGACCCTTGGACATGGAAATCTTCTTCCAACAAAGATGTCATGAAATTCTGGAATTCCTGTCAAATGGCATACCACATGTATGCTGAACCTGTTGGACATTTTCTAGAAGACTGATTGGCTCCAGAGGTTCTCCTGGCGGTTCTCCACTGCTGCGGATGACATATCTCCAAGTCCTGTGCTTTTGCATTCGTCAAGTCCTCGAAGTTCACACCAGCGACATGAGGCGGTTCCGGGTGTGTTGGGCGATGTCGACCACCCTTTCCTGGGCGGCACCAATACATGGAGCGGAGTGGTCCACCAGGTTCCACCTGGTTCAATTGGCCCTCGGGTGTTTTCTATTCTTTTTTGGGCAACGGCCGCTGTGAAAGCATGTTGGGATGAGAAATCCACCCATTCGTGTTAGCATGAGTTGACAGCTTGAGGGTCGAACCCACAGCGAGAAAGACCAGCCCTTTGATCTATACCTATACTTCAGAACCCCAAAACCAACCACTTTCCCAGCAATTCCCTCTACCTCGGTGCTTTTCTTCTTCCGCGGTCACTGGTCAGGAGCCGCCGAACGCTTCGACGGAGTCGGCTGGGCGCATCGTCTTGAGGCGCCGCTCGGGCGAAGTGGGCTCGGGCGGCATGATGGCGGATGGGCGGAAGCTGAGGGCGGGACGACGTTGTAGAGGGTGATGAAGGGTGGAAACTGGCCCGATTTCCTTCGGAAAGCGTGGATTCCAAGTTGGATGATGCGTGCTAAGGCGGTCACAAGAATGACCCACTTTGCCTAAGCGACCATTTTTCGGTGAACCTGATGGCCCAAAGAACGGACACTTGGTGCCGAAACGCCTTCAATTCCTGAACATTTCATTCTTTAATATTTGGGCTAGCCGATAAATATAAGAAATGTATAATATCGTCTAGCCTTTTTATATTTAATTTCTTTTATTGATAGGCTAGGCGATATAATTCATTCATATTACTGGTACATTTTTTGGACACGCTGGTGCCACACTCTTGCGCAACACTATTCTAGCACACTGTTGTGGGCCACTCTTGTGCGTCACTCTTGTACAACATACTTAGTTTCTCTCCTGCGCGCGTCGCACGACTCGAACAAATGCGTGCGACGACCGTGCGACGAACGAGCACGGGATCCCTGGTGGACGGATCCGAGCGTCGTCGACTAGCGCCGGATCCGAGCGTCGACTCCCGTTTCTCTTCTGGTTGCAGGTTTGGCCAGAAAGCAGCTGTGAAGCACAGAGACATTCAAGAGAGACCTTCCGTTTTGCAGAGACCTTCAGCACCAAACGACCACCGAGACGTTCCGAACAGAGTTTCACGGTTTCACTGCGAACGGTTCCGTGCGTCCAGGGTTGGTCCGTCCGTTGTAGCAGCGGTTCCTGGACCCGTTCCCATGGGACCAAAACCGGTAACGAAACAAGGAAATCCGAAGAGGGTCGACTCCGGCGACAACCAAAAGCCACACAGATGCTTTGGGGCCTTGCTTGCTTGCCGCTTGCCCTGTGACCCGGAATTGGTGGTTGAAGAAATGGTTTGTGGTTTTTACTTGGAATGCGGAAACAAACCAAATGAACACATGATGAAGCTCTCACTGCCTATGCCGATTCTTTTGCTTCGTATTTCCTTCATGCCGCCCGCGCGTGGCAGAGAGATCCCAGCAGTGATCTTGCGAGTTGGTCATTGAGTCATTGGTCGTTGGGTGTTTTCCCTCTCCAGACGTACTTGGGTATACTCAGATATACTCTACTAGGACCCTCCTGGTGCTGGCCAGGCTGTTTGGAGACCCTAAGAGGTGGTTTCTGGGCACCTGTTGTCACCAGGAAGCACCTGTGAAGTCGGGTGCTGGTACGCATGCTTCCAAAATGCTGCCCAAACACTGCCCAAACACCGAAGGGGAATAGGTGGAACCCCTCCCAGGCTCCGAAGGGTCAGGGTCCTTGACGTCGATGACTACCGTGCTGCTCGGATACAACGCCCAAACGACAATAGCACTGATCAGACGGAATTGGTCACCGGCATTCCGGGTCCAACACTTTGGTCCAAAGGAATGGCTTCCAGGTTTCCCCCCCGGAACAACAGCAGGGCTGACGGCAGTCGGTCCACCCGCACTTAAAACAATCGCTCGCTGGTTTCAGGCACCACCAAAAAAGATCCCACGATCGGAGGCCGGGACCCGAGTGCAACCCTGTGGCCGTCTCCGCTGAAAGCTTCTAGTTACTGGAAAGCTTTCTTGTCGACTAGTAGTGATAACCCTCCAGCTAGTAGCTTCGGTTCCTAGAAATCCCGAAGTCCTTAGACTGGTCTTTGGGCCCCCGCCAATGAGATTGGTCTTCGTTTCGGGACGGGTCCTGAGACGGGGTCACACGGCGGGACCTCACGGGTCCGCGATCGGTCCGGCCGCCGAAGCGAATTAGATCTGTCCAGGGTATTTGGCTAAAGCCTTCTCTGTCCAAAGAGCAAAGACCTTCGTCCAGGTTGGCTTCTGAAGTGATGTTGAGTCGATCGACCGGACCAAAAAGGGATTGAATGTGCGATGAACACCAGAAATTTGGGAAGTTTCACGCTTCATGTCCTCCAATGAATACCTCAACCGTGGACATTTGGTCAATTCCTCATAGTCCTTGGTGAAGCTACCAAACTAATCAACACAAGAAACCTCCAGTTCTTTCAATCCAAAGCCAAACACCCCCACATCGGAATTCTTCTTAAAAGGCAAAGCGCTCTGCTGCGTTCGGATTCACCATGCTGCGTCCATGCCGCTCTCTGTTTTTGTTCTTGCGATTGGGGGGGAATCTCCAAACCGAGAGATGCCCAGGGCTTCCGACCACCAAACGTGCCCCGTCCCTTCATTGTTCCTCCACTCACGCAAGGGGATCTCAAAACCACCCGTGGATCTGTACAATCAACGCGCAAGCGTCATCCCAGTGGTGAACTCAAGTCCTAGCGACCTAGCGCATGCTAGCGCTGACTGGGGATGTAAATATGATAGGTCTCCAATCTCATGGTTGATAACCGCGGATCCACCTGGGTGTCAAGTGGGATGGCCCCGAACATGATCAAACACGCCTCTTCTTCTTGAAGAGTAGCACAAAAAAAGACCCCACCATCCTCCAAACCGATAATCACCGCAGCTCAACCGCATAC